TATAACTATCGTTATAACAAACATCAATTTACGTCAATTTTTATTGGAACTAACAAGACTTTAATCTCATAATTTATTTAAGGCACCTGTCAATCTAATTGCGAAAACATCTTGGTTTGAATTAATTTATTTATTACATGTATACTGAAAATGGTCTAATTAAGACCGAATGTTTATAATATATTTTGAAATTGTTCTTTATCTATTTAATAAATTTATGTATTGTTTCGTTCATAAGATCTTGCTTGGTGGTGTTATGCTCTTTGTAATATTATTTTTAAATTTTAGTCACTTAAATTTGTTTATTGTAACATACAAAATTAGAAAGTAGTATTGCAAGAAAAATTAGTATGATTCAAGCAAAGATATAGACAGTCTGCAGATCTGCAGTAAAATATTCGCTACATGCAGCTGTTTATAAATATTCACAATCTACTATTTTGTATCCCTACTTGGATTTCTTTCTGCTAAATGTTGATTCAACTTGTTTTATTTAATCTTATCTTGGCATTTAATAAATATTTGCAATTTAATATTTTATATCAGTGGCATTAAGGAAAAGAATTTCTTTCTTCATTACGAATTTCCACCTTACGCGACTAATGAAACGGGAAACTCGACTCGTGTTGGTCGCCGAGAACTGGGACATGGCGCATTGGCAGAGAAAGCCTTGCGACCGATTCTTCCAAAGGCTTATCCCTTCACTGTAAGACTGACTAGTGAAGTCCTAGAATCTAATGGTGAGGCAATTGTACAGTGCCCCTAGCAATAAACCTGGTTTAATAAATGGCCTTGTGAGATTACGGTAATGTACTAAAAACTTTATAATAGTTATGTCTTGCTCTGCAAAAAGGTTCCTCTTCAATGGCTACTGTTTGCGGTGGAAGTTTGGCACTGCTCGATGCAGGTGTACCAATATCTTCGGCAGCAGCTGGCGTGGCTTTTGGTCTTGTGACTAAATATAATGATAAACATATTGAGGATTACAAAATATTGACCGATATATTGGTACATATTTACACAACTATTACACAGTTTAATTAATTAAATTAATTTGATTATAAAATATTTGCTGTAGCAAATATTCTGTAACAACATAAAAAAGTTGTCATTTTGAAATTGTTTATAAAAAAAAAAAAAAAAAAAAAAAAAACAGAAATAGAAGAAAAGAAGAAAGATTATTACATATTTTAAAAGAACATACTTTTATTCCTACAATCATTTATTATACCAAAATTGCAATTTAAAATAAATAATATAGAATTTCAAAATGATTCAAACTCATTTTCTGAAAAATCAAAATTCTTTTTTGAGTAGCAAATGAGTGATGTATAACATGGCATCATCAAGATCGTTAAAAAGATTATTTTAATTTTTCAAATGAGAATCTATTTTCCGTTGCACATTTGGATAGTTGAGATCAAGAAACATTTAGAACGTAGATTGTTGATTCCTTTAGGATAAATTTAAATTATATCGGGATAGTATTTAAATCAACAATTTTGATAATTAACAAAAACCTTTGAACTGCAGGGAATTGAGGATTACCTTGGAGATATGGATTTCAAAATAGCAGGCACCAAGGGAGGATTCACTGCATTCCAAGCTGATATAAAGATACCAGGAATTCCGTTGAAAATCATAATGGAGTGTATAGATAAAACAACGACTGCTAAATGGGAAATAATTAAAATCATGAATGAAGTGATACGAGCACCGCGACAAACTAAGAAGGACAAGATGCCAGTGGTCGATAATTTAGAAATTTCTATTTATCAAAGAGGAAAGTTTCTTGGAGTCGGCGGGATGAACCTTAAGAAAATATTCTTGGAAACCGGAGTGCATGTAAGATTTTTATGATTTAAAAAGTTTTCGTGCGGCGATGGCCTGAATATTATTAAATTCATAAAATTCAATAAAATTATTTATTATATTATAATTTTATTATAATTTGAGATTTATCTCAAATTCCTTATTTTTATTTTGTTCAGATATACCCATATGACGAAAACACCTACTCAATATTTGCGCCGAACGAAGATGCTATGACGGAGGCAAAGGAAATGATAGAAGACATTTTACAAAAGGATCGTGAGCCGGTTTTGGAGTTCGGCGCTATTTATACTGCAAGAATAGTAGAAATCCGGGAAGTTGGGGTCATGGTGACGTTATATTCCAATATGATACCAGCATTATTACTGAACTCTCAATTAGACCAACGTAAGATTCATCATCCCAGTGCTTTAGGACTTGAAGTTGGTCAAGAGATACAGGTTAAATATTTCGGACGAGATCCAGTATCTGGACAGATAAGAATATCACGGAAAGTACTGCAACCGCCAACTTCGGTTACGAAAACTTTACATCGTGATGATGCGAAAAAAACGTAAAATCTATGATATATAGAATTAAAATCAATGTATTTGTAATACATATGTCAGCTATACATGTGTAAAATAAAACGCTCTGTATATTTTCCATCATCCTGTTAAAAAGTGATAATTTTTATTTACAGTAGATTCTCCCTTGTATCTATTTATCTTGTATTTTTGTACAATACCGTTATTAAAAAATATAAAAAGATTGCAGTTATTCAACAATGTGTTCTATCTATCCTGCTTTCTATATGTATATTGTTGTTCTATATGTATGAATTATTCGAAAATTTAATGTTTACAAATGTAGAATGCCTAACACAATTCTTAAATTTCTTCGTCAACAGTTCATAGAAAGTGTAATTGACGAAGGATAAAAATACATGGTTGATTTCTCGATTTTCAGAGATAATTTTCTCTTGAAGATAAAATCTTAAATGGAAAAGGTTCTATTGTATCTTTTCTACATTATTTAATATTATCTTGTTGTTTACAATTATAATTGTTTAATATTATGGGCAAAGTAAAAGCGTATTAAGTGTAAAAATCGCGTAATAAGTTAAAAATAAACAGAACGATTTTTCCTTTGCTTGTCTATTATCTTTTCCTAGAAATAAAGGAAATGGATAAATTGAAATAACAGGAGATATTAAGATAAGTTAAATTTTCACGTACAGTCAGTAACATAATTCGTTTCTTATATTTTCTTTAATTTTAAATCATATTCTTGTAGAGACAGAGCGCAACAATACAAATTTAACAATTTCACATTAAAATATACTTACATTATTTTTACATTAAATGTTGAACAATAAAGTCAATAATATAAGTTAATAATATAAGAAGAGAATTTACTTTTTAAAAAATACTTTCCTATTTATTTAATATTAATCAAAAAATATTAACATGATTTTGCTCAATTACGTGAATATGTTTCTTTTTTTGTAAACGTAATAAAGGAATAATTTGACAATCTATATTTGACAATCTATATTCTACATTGTACTTCATGTAATATCTCTCTCATTCATGTAACATTTCTACAATTTCTGATCATGTTGAATACGATTGCACGGTTTTTTTATCGCTACGTATTCAAGCGGAGTTCTACATACACACTTGGTGTCATGATTAGCACGATGTACTTTGAGAGGATATATGATGAGGCTTGCGAGTACCTATTTGAAACTGTGAATAAAGGGGTATTTCATTATAATAATATATATTCATAAACTGTTTATATAATATTCATATAATGTTTATCTGAAATACTAAAGATATAAGTGAATACTATTCCATGACTTTTTGTGTTATATATGTGACAATTTTTGTAATGAAATGATCAGTCATCAAAATTAATGAAATTAATTTACTTAATGTTTATTACAGAGGCTTTGGAAAGATATAAAACATCGATATGAAAAGTAAATTATGGAAACTCAATATGCATACAATGATCAATCCAAGCCTTTCGTAATCGATAATAAAAAAACTCATTACTGATTAATGTGTACGCAGGTATAATTTAATATATTTTATATTATTAAATTTTAAAATTTGTCAAATTGCTTATTAATATTACTATTAATTGCACATTGTATTTTATACAGAAACCAGATAATTTTAATAACAATAATTACGAAAATGAACTGAAATGGTGGTATACAAATGGTGCATATTAAATCAGAGATAAAGGCATTAAACTATTGTTAATATTTTTCTTTTAATTTTTAACAAATGCATATCCTTAATTGCACACGCATGATTTTATCTTATTTAAATAAATGTATTGGATTTTATCAATTAATTTGTGGAAAAAAATCGAATAAAAGTCAATTAAAAGTATCTTAAAAAAGGGAATTTTTAAATTAAATACATATTAATAATTATAAATTATTCAATTATTTTAACACGTATAATATAATGCAGTTAAATATTGTAATAATTATGTTTAATTATAACAATTATAATAATAAATTATTAATAAAAAGTATAATCTGTCTTGTTTATTTTATAACGATCGGATAGGCATTTTCTATATTTCTCTTTACTCTTAACTTTTGTGTGAAAGAAAAATGTATTACCTATATGATTTCAGTCTTTCTTTCATTCTCTCATCTTATATGCGTTCATATGATGTGATAACGGGAGAATGGTATAAGAAGAGATCGTTTGCAGAAAAAGAAATATAAGGTAGAAAAAAATGTATAATAGAGAATATTTTAATTTTAAAAGAAATACTGATTATATTTACAACTTAATTTGAGAAACTAATTAATTTTATAAATTTTGAAGATTATAAAATATTAAACCATATTTGTTGCACTATAGTTGCAATATTTTTTTGAACATTTGTAATATGTAATTTCTCCAATTTTATCAAATAGAAATTTTTTACAGTTTTTGTATATTATAAGTATTACATGCTTATTCACACATACAGAAAAAAGATTTCTACTTATTTGATAAATCAAATGCGTTTATTAAATATCTAAATATATACTGATTTTGATAAACTTTATGTCGTTCGGAACTTCCGATGATAAAAACATGAGTAAATGCTGGTTTTTAAGAATGACATAATGTATAAATACAAGCTGCAGATTTGAAAACGCAGTATTTGCAAAGAACATTCAGTGAGAAGTTAATAGCCAAAATAATTAGACAAATATTTAAACTTATTAACATTGAAGGTACGTTATATTTCTACCATTAATTTTTAAAAGTTTATTTATTTGTGGAGAAATCATTAAAAAATATAATATTCTTTCATATATTTTTTGCTATTAAATTATTTATAATATAAATTAAAAATTAAATAAAATTAA